GCAAGACCCATATCGAGAATAATAATTCCATGTAATAATATCATAGTTGACAAACCCTTTTATGAGTTTGTTTATAATTCTCAAGCCATTCTTCGTATTTTTAAACTGATTATCGTCATTGATAAACATGTGTGTTGGAAGTGAGTATGTTTTGGCAAACTGACTCACAAACATTGAATAGTCTTCGTCTTTCCCAAAGCATAGCAGCATTATCTCGTCAACGCTGCAATTACTAGCGTAATAGACATTGTCAATTTGAGTTGGCTCTATGTTGCTGATTTCCTCACAAGGAATCCATTAAGTCTTAAGTCTTTATTTTTACTTTTCAAGAGAATTGACCAAATTGTTACTTGCTGAATTATTAACAGTTATTCAACGCGTGTGTTACATTGCACGTTTCTTTATATTTATTTATTTATTTTGATTTTTCTGATGCTTATTCTTGCCACGTTAAAGCATTACGCCAAAAAAGGTATCATAATTCAGTATCCAAAATGTAATAATTTAAATGGTGTTGTAACTAATTATTTAAAATGTGAATTCCATTCTTCCGTCAAAATTTCTCTAAATTCTCTATGATTCAATGTGCCGATTATATTGTACGGTCGAAATTTGTAGCTTTGTGGCCTTTGCCACACGACTAATGGCTTTATTAACAAAGAAAAAACTTCTGATTTGTATTTATAAGCAATTTTTTCTCACGAATTACATCAGAATATCTGTCACATTTTCACCGTCTACGTGACTTCATGATACATATTGACAAGTGACATTATGTCTCAAGAAAGACATATTATTTTATCAAAAAACCCTTAGAATTATTGGAAATATTGTGTTTGAGAATTTTCTTATCGCTGGTGATGTTCTACCATTTTGATCTACTGCCCAGCGCAATTGCTGGTGCTGATTGTCGTAATTATTAGACTGTATATGTAATGATTGTTGCGGTACCAATTATTGCGTTCCGAAATAGTCTCTTTATGACTCCTGCGACACACCGGAGTCATTATTAGTCCCACGGCAACTTGTTGGGACATTGACTCGGTTTCTGTATGTTTTTTCCTTGAATAGGATTGGAAAACTTGGCTTACGGAAGAGATAAAAGTTAATCCAGTTTGCCAAGAGGATTATACCAACATGGTGTTGTACTTGCTAAAATAAAAACCAAGGAGAATATACGACATGTCGCAATAGTTACGAGATGCTATACCGAGAATATTTTATAAATCCGGTTATCGTAAAAGTTCTTTGCAAATTTGATTACTTTAGACAAGTATGTTGATGACGATAGTTGGTTTGTCATGTATTATGTTAATAATCTCTTTGTACAATGTTTAATAGAATATAGAGTGTAAAGGCTATAGACTCCAACAGATTAAACTCACCAACCGGAAGACGCGCGCATAAATTTTGGTCTAAACACAGTTGCATCGGACAATTCGCGTATTCATGAATGTTAGTCATACTTGTATAAACAATATGAACAGAAGTATTATAATAAGCCTCCTTTATAGGATAGAAAACGTTAAACAGTGTTTTCACTGTCTTTTCCGCCAATGTTTAGCATATCTGCTTAATAGTCTGTATGCTGTTGTACTTTAGCATTTGTAATAAATACCAAATTAATAAAAGAATAAAAAATTTATTGTCTGAATATTATTCTATTTCTATGTAAAAGTAAGATGTTACAATGCAGTATCGATACAATGGGCCCGTTTAATTCAACAACCAATACGTCCATTGCAATGTGGTTAGGTTATGATGCATTAAACTCTGCCATTGTTATTGCAAGCCGTGTAATATTCGAATTGTGAGGTTGACATACGAGTCAGACCAATGCAATTGCTCTCTTTTACTTTAGCTTTAATGACGCGTCATTGATAGAAGCAAGGTAACAATAATGATGAGTTCCATAATCTCTAAAAAGTATGGCAGCTGAATGTTAAGCTAGCCAATATTGCAATAGTGGGTGGCTAAATATAGCTAAGTACATCCGGACGCTTGCTAATCCATTCTGCCAGATGTCTAAATGTAAATATTTAGCAGTCGAAAGAAATCTGGATATAACGAGCGTGAAAAAAAAAATACTCGGTGTAGGGTAATTTGTGTTAGTAATTATATCGAATTACGTGTTTATCCTTCTATGTAAATTTTTACGTCCGTGTTCATTAAGACGCGGGCAACCTGCGCGTAGATGTTACGCTAACTTCTGTTGCTGGCTTAGCCGCCTTCTAAGAATGGAATTATTGTTAGAACAACAATTAATATTATTAACACCTGATTAATATACTGCATAACAAACAACAGCATAAATAAATAGGGCGTAATTGTTTAACAAGCACTATTGTAATATAACTTCCATTTCGGATTGATATTTAATATTGTGAGAACAAATGTTACGCGTTATTGTTTGACTTTTCCCTAAAACTATCGTTTGTGCTCAATCAAATAATGGTTAACAGTTTAAAGGTAATTGAATTAAATCATTGTTTGTGCCTGTGATTCTTTTGATGTTATCTTCCCTTAAAAGCGGCTTTTAATCCCTCCTTTTAGTTGGGCCGCTGTTTTAAGCGTGAGAGCAAAAGAAGTGCCTTTCTTGTTTGAGGTGGCCCATAACGATATCGAATAACAATAACAATAGCAATAATAACAATAACAATAAATGGGGACTGTGGCGTCAACATTTTCGATCCCCAAAAGTACTTGTGTGTCACTTTATAGATTTTGTTCTCGTATCAAAAGTTTCTATTTGATCAACATGTCGTCTACTACAAGAGCACCACAACAGTCTAAAATGTCCTCGGCTGAAATGCTTTCTATATTCGCCAGTGTGCCTAATTCAATGTTCGGTAGTTTAACTCTACCCCCTGCATTCAAATGACAATCTCTACGACCTTTTCACAGTCTCTAATTTCTTTCTCTGCTCGTAGAATCCACACCAAAACGCCCCAGAAAACGAGAATCAGCTCCAGTCGGTCCCAAAACCAAGAGATCCCGTGTTAGCAAAGACAAAGGCTTGTTAGACAATGTTGAAGATCTCTTCGAATTGAGCAAGCGTCAACAGACACGAGAGAAATTGTGGAAGTGGTTAGACGAGGATGACACGAAGGATGATATGTACATTAGCGATGGAGATATGAAAGTGGAGGGTAAGCATGTGAGAAGGAGACGCAAAGAAACGATAGATCAGCAGCCCACGGTTCTCGAAGACTATGTCGAAAGACCAGGGAAAGAGCGTGGAAAGAAATTCAGAAAGCAAAGGATCAAAGGTGACTTTGTAGACAAAGACCCGGATGATGTTACGATAGAGTATATACCTAATAATTTTGAAGGTAAGAAATCTCTACTGTTACTTAGCCACACGATATCTTACCATGTATGTTACTGTCCATCGAATGCCCGTTTTCTCCTAATAATCTCTGCGTTTTTCCATTGCTCCACGCAAAGGTATTCCTGAGATCAAGTTTGAATCTGCAAGGGCCGAATTTAAAAAGTTTAAATACTAAATGAGGTGAATGGGTAGGTATGGTCGATACGCTGGAGAATAAGGAGTTTCACGACAATATATGGTAGCATTGTAGTCTAATGATTTAATGTTCTCACAAATCTGATTGATCGTAAAATTCTTTTGTTTTTTGTATCAAGTCTCTTTGATTTCTTCAAGTTTCATAAACAGATGTGTATTCACGTCTTGCAAAATGATCAATTAATCTCTACTAAGATTCAATTTTGTTGTTGACAACAGGTTCAACGCGTGGTTAATATGTCATTTATGTCAATAATGCAAATACACAACGAAGCGTCCAACGAATTTGACTTTCTTTAGGGCAACTCTCAAAGATGGATACAATAGCATTTAATGCACTGACTGCATCCATCACCTGCTGTCAATTAATCTTGGTATGTAAATTTCTCTATTCAAGTTGGCTCGAAATTGTAAATCGACTTTAGTGATTGTTGTTTAACCCGTTATATAATCTTTAGGTCTTTATCCTTATTATTATTTGTCGTGCATATACAGTGTTCCATAGACTTTCTATCATAATCTCCCGATCAAATACAGTACACTCTTCATGATTCGATAAGCTTTCAGATCAAGATATTCCTCAATAGTTTCTACTTGTAAATATTTGGAAAAAAAAATAGCTTTGAAATTTCTGTTGGTGTTTGTAACTTTTCAAAAGTAAGGATTTGATTCATTTGCATTTAACTCTGTCATTTCATGACCCACGTTATATTTCGGTTTTGAGATTTTGGCTATATCAGCTAGTCATGTTTCTCTTCGGTGATAGATTAACACGGAGGATTAGCGACTACAATTGATTAAATTTAAGTACATCCCAGATACAGTATGTACCACCCACAAAATTTACCAAGCGTGTTTAATCCCAATCTGTTTGAAGACAGGTCCATCATAAATTAGCAGGTTTCCGCACAAATTGCTTATGGCTCGCCACAAGCAGTTCTCGAGATTCGAGAAATGCATAAAGTTGCGATCTACTCTTAATGATTATTCCACGCACGCCCAACAACAAAGTAAACTCGGAAATGATACATTCTGTAGGGTTACTTTTGATTATCGCCTTAACTATTACCTTTCAACACACACTATCAACACACACTAAACCAAACGTCTGTAAGAACTAAATACAATCAAGACCTTTTCCTTATTCGTTCTAGTCTATTATCTCCCGTCTTTGTGTAGATCTGAACTTCGAATATAAGAATTACGTATATATAGATGTTGCTTCAACTACTTTAATATCGTGTTGTCAGTGCTGCACGGTCTTTCTCCTGATTGCAAATCATATGATTTGCGAAAGAAATTAACGATTAAAAAGGTTCTCCTATTTCAGCCCTAACAAAAACTTTGGATGACGTCTCTGGGGACGCGTTAAAAAAATTAAAAGGCATTTATTTTGTCAACAAAATGTATTCTTAAATTCGATTAATCCAAATATTAAATAGGAAGCCAGTCGGAGAAAGTTCTGTTAACGAATACAGTTTTTCGAACAATAGTTGCTTGGCAGTCACCTTTAAGACATCGGCGAAACTAACCATTTCGTAATTAAAACGTTTCTGCGACATTATACCTTGTGGCAATCACATGCTAACATGCAAACGTTAACTATGTGTTGTCGAGTAAGAAAAACATTTAATATTAAAAAAAAAAAAGTTCTGTAGCATGCATATAACATATACAAATAATAACAAGTTCCCAATCAGAGAGAAAGCGAATGACCGTAGGAGAGTAATCCGACACGCTTGTGAATAAACTGTCCCCTCCCTCGGTAATATCAAGTGACCACAGGTATATTTAAGACATCCTTTTACGCTTCTGACAATCGATCGAATATAAAAGATGGAATCTTACAGGACACCTAAAACTTTGAAACAAATTAAGAATTTAAATAACACGTATTTATTCCGTAATTGTTAAAATTATAAAAACACTGACCTAACTTAAATTTTACAAGTGTCATTGCGTGGCACTTGTCTCGAATTAGAATGAGAAATAAACGCATCGACTAGTCTAATCTATACATGCTAATACGGGGTGTTATCTACAGACAGTATTTTTAATTTTCAGACTTTTTGCAAGTCGCCTAACGCTAAAAGTCATGCCTTGTACGTTTGTTGGATAGGGTAATTGGGAACCCGTGCAAGTTGGTAAACTTCCAAACTTCCAAGTTCGAAGCTCGGGCATTCGAGCGATGAAATAGTGTGTGTGGGGAGTAATTGTTAGAGTTTGCCTCCGCCTTTGCCTTTTCCTTTTCCTTTTTCTTTTTAGTGTGTGTGGATTTTTGCGGTATTGGTATGGATCGAAACAGTTATGTCGTAATGCAATATAAATAAAGGTGTTGAGTTGGTTTTTTTACCTCTGTTCTTTTTCGATTTAATCTAATTAAGATTTACGCATACGTTACCCAAAACTTTGGTCTCGTGCAAAGGTGCAAGTGAATTTCGACTCGTGGTCTTTCAAACCAGAGCCCCTTCCCATTCCAAGTACATTATAAAAAGCATGGGACCATGATGAGGATACCCAGCTTGCACGATTTGCCTTGCTTCATTTGGTGAAACCACATGGTAGATTTCAATATAAAAACTAATTGGATACACGTATTCTAACAATGAGGTTGTCGCACAACTCTGGAAAAAGTCAATTGAAAAATTGCTCATATTTTTATAGTATTTTTTTATGTGGGATTTGGGGAGTTTGAACAATGAATTAATAATATACAAATAATAAACAAAAAATAGTATTAATTAATAAATACTTATTATTATGGCGTTGCTGTAACCCCCTCGTAAGACGTTTTCATTGTTTGGTAAAAATATAACAATAACAATGCATAACAAAAGGTCTTAATAGTGAAACATCGGCCACTTTGTCAAACTCCCGGATTTGGATCTGCACTGCATGATGAGATGTATCGGTATGTTAGCGCAGGTTGTACCATACATTGCATATCACAATGTATAATCTTTTTTTCATCGGCGCATAAATGCTTAAATCTGACGAATTAAAACCTTCTTTGAATTACCAAAAGGTCATAGTCTCCCCTAAATAACAGTCTGCATTATGCGAACGCGTTTCCTAATAGATACAATCATGTCTTAAAAATAAAATACTTAATTCTTTATCGGACAAAATACAAAGTCTATACAACTTTTTATTATGCATCTCTTGAAGTCTATGTTCAAGTTCACTTTCACTTTGTATTAATACATTACAATTAGCACTATTTAATCTGCCATCTTTGCCATCCAACTAACCCAAACTACGGTATTACATTTTCCTCCCCTCCCATTACACTTTAAAAGAAAGACTGTCCTTCACCCGCTGACCCATTCCCCACTCACAGATTACAACCCCCTTTTGTTATTCTATATCCTCAATCCGAACTACTCCAAGCACTCATCTTTTCTACAACAACAGTCATCTCTCTCTCCCCGTTTCCTCTCGGTATGAATTCTACCCTATCGGTTGTACTCTCCCTGATTTCCATACTCTCCCTCAGTACGATCATCAAATCCTGAAACCTCCTTGAATCGAACGGGAATACTTTGAACTGTACTTCTTTCAATCTCTCCAAATCGTTCAGTAGAATGCGAAACTGATCGCACGGAATAAATGTACAGTGAACAAACGATATCCGACGCAGAGAAGATCGTTGAGTTGCAAGACATCCGAGGATATTGAGTATTTCGTCGTCCGCATACCATATTTCAAAGTTTATGAGATTATTCTGATGCGCGATTAACGAATGTATCCACTCATTGTGAGCTCTAGGGGATCGTATCTTGATGCTTCTTAAACCTCTTGGTGGTTCTACTTGTATCGTAGAGTTCATTAAATAATGTCCAACAAAATTCAATCCTTTTAACCTCTTGCTTCCTGCAATCAACAAACCAAACAAGATTCTGAACATCTTCTCTAGTCTTCTCCATTGATAGCAAGGCATTCTGCTTGTAGCCAGTATTCCATATACAACCAGACAATCTAGCTGTTCTAGATAGCTCGCATAATTGAACATTGGTTTGCTATCTTTTATGATCTTTACTGTTTTGATGAAATACTTTTTTTCAGAGGCCGAGAGACAGGTGAGGTAGGTGCAGATGAGAGAATGCTTGCGATCGAGGTGAGCGGTGGAGATAAAACGGAAGGGGTTCTTGTACGCAAGGGGAACGGCTATCCGACAGAACGTGCGTGAGGTGAGCATAAGAGAGTGCAGTGTTGAGGGATCGTCGTCCAAGTAGGTAGTTATTTCTGCCAGGATGTCTTGGTTTATTAAAACCATTATGAAGAAAGTATGCGCAAGAAGAGAAGGAGAGTGAGACGGACGTGTAGTGTAGCTGTTTGGAATAGTCGTTCGATGAAAAGGAGTTTAAGTGTATTGATAGGTACAATTTATAGTGGTCGTTGCCCAATATGAAAGTCAATAGTAGAAATGATAAATGCTATGTGTTTATGTCAGCCATATACTATATTTCATATGCTATATGCAGTGTGCTATATCATATGCTATAAGTATATGCTAGATGTTATATATTTATACGCATTTACATGCTCTCAATGCTATCTATCATTTTTCGTCTTTTTGATTTTAATCTAATCGACTATTCATGGTTGTGTATGTCCTTCGTTCCTCCCCCCTCGCAATTTATGTCTCTCTCCCTTAATACGATCAGTTAATATGTTTCACAACATATCATGCTCGAGTGCAAAGTGAATTGCGTCATCCAGTAGGGGACAGATATTGTTTTATATTATTACAAATTGAGGCAAATAAATTCCTTTTTTTTTTTTTTTTTTTACAAATAACAAGTAGAGTTCTTATTCTGCATATTTAAGTACAGTTATTATGTTAATGCGTAAATATTTAATTATTTTTTTTTTAGACTGACACATATTCGGATGTTTGTTAAACAGGCAATTTCGGAGGTTGGTCGTAACTATAAATAGTTCATAACAATATCAAAGGGGGGAATTATAATACCACCCGTCATTTACTAGATGGATAAATAAAGTCCCATTACGCAATTGGAGGATAGAACAGACAATGATATACAAAAGTATCGCAAATACACAATGCTCAATACTCTGCCCATATCTCAACAAAATCCTGTTGTAATAATGCACATTTCGACCAAATAAATTATTCAAATTGATAATTGCGTTGTATCATACTTTATTGTAGACAAATATATGTATGTGTGTGTGTATTAGTATATAATTTAGGCCAAAACCCGAAGTTAGCATTTAGGTTTATTATCCAATACTCTGGAATGCAAAAAAAATAAATTTTTTTTCTATGTATGCTAATATCTCCCTCCAATCTATCGGGCCGACCGTTAATCCTACGATCACATGATTTCGGACATACCAACTCGCCGGCGAGAGAGTGAAAAGAAAAAATTGCAATATCGATTTGGATTAAATCTTTGAAATAAACACTTTCATTTACGAGTGTTGCTACGTCAAGTCGCAACCGATCTTTTGTTTTTTTTGTCATTGCGTACAACATCTCATGCTTTTCGAATCCTCTATTCACTTCTCTCAAGTGCCGTATTCGTAATCCTTATTCTATCCACGCTTGGTTTCCCTTTCCCATACTCATCAAACATGTTTCCCCTCCTCCCGCTAGAACTTTACCTTAAAATTGCAAGTTACATCGACGAGGATGACATTCCCACTCTTTACTCTTGCATTCTCGTTAACCGACAATCATTTTTCAGTTATATCAGTATTCTCTGGCGCAAACCGTTTCACATAGCTCATCGTCTTCCCCGATACAAAGTCGTAAACTTGGTTAAAGTGTGTATCTCTACCTTTACCGCGGACGAGAAACGACAATTGAGCACACGGAGTATCAGATTTCCGACTCAGTCTTCGACGCCGCTTATTAATTATATTAAATTTATAGAGTGTGTGTCAGACGCATACATCATTAAGGCTTTAATGTATTTTCCTGGAGTATCAACAATTGAATTATGGAAAGTCTTGATAGAGAAACTGGTCAATGATGCTGCAAAAATCAAATGTCTTGAGATACAAAATTTTGCATTGTATTGGTCATGTATGCAGTTGGATCAGACTCTGTTTAAGATGCGTGAAGTCAAAGTACTCAAAGTAAAGAGAATTACTAGGGAACAAGTGAAAATATTAACCAAATTTGTAGCAATTCAGAATAGTTTAGGAGAAGCATTTTTTGGAGAAGTGTATACTGGGATAGGAGAGATAATAGAAGCTTTAGAAAGTTACAGAGAGAGAAAAGGTTCTTTATATAAAGTAGGCTTTAGGAATTGTAATTTCCTAAGAAATGCATATGCATGTGATGTTATGAGATTTTTTAAAATGATGGATAATGTTTTATTGAATGCTTGTAGTGGATTAGATTATGAAATGATGAGAAAGTTGAAATGTAAAATGAAAGACAATTTAAATATTGATAATATATCATTATATGATACTTATAGTATATTTTGGTGTTAATAATATAAAGTGGGGAAAGACAGGGTTAAAAATATAGGACGTAATAAATTTTTAAAAAAATTTATTACAATTGTCTTTGTAAAAATTTGTTATTCGAGTCGTATTAATTCTGCCTCTAAAATGTGTTATTATCACGCTCCTTATTAATTAACTTTATTAATAAATAAACAATTACTTTCTTTTTTCCAATTATAGGTTTTTTAATTATTTCACTTATTAATGTTCGTTGCCACCACATATATGCATGCCAGAATTGTATTCAGGTTTCACGTTGTTGTAGTTGATAATAAAGTCAAGGCAAAACTATGGTGTTAACCGCCATTATTATTATGGGGGTACTCAGTACACAAATGCAAACCAAGAACTAGTTACATAAACTTTATGCTTGACAGGTTAATGTAGTTTAAGATTATGATATTTAATGACTTAATTGTTTTTGTTTGTGCACACACTATATACACATATATGTAATGTCTTAAAGTAAATGTAACGTTAACTAAATAAGCATGAGTCATGTATTACGTCTATAGTTCAAAGTTTGATTTACATGTCATCATGTACCTCGTTAAAAGACAAAATAGCAAGATTACGGTTAAGACCTTGTATCTTTTTTTGATAATACGTTCGACGTGAGGGATGGCAGTACTCAACCGTTAAGTAATACAAAAATTTTAACTCGGGGCTGTTTACAAGCTGAATTGGCAATTTGCTGGTAACTTTTAACGCTAGCACAAGGTAAATACGGACAAATGCTCTAACTTGAATTAAACATGGAAACCCTTCAACAAAGTTTGAATAACTTTTTGTATATTTTAAGACGTAGTAAACATGGTTTATTAAGCGAGCAAAAAGGGTTTAAAGTAAATTTTAATTAAGGGGTTTATGTTAAATTTAATCAATATAACGGGAAACAAATTACAAGTCAATTTTGGCGTTTAAATAGCATGAGAAAATATCGTTAAAGTGAAAATTAAATTTAAAAATGTTTATGCTTATACAGATGGTATTTATGCTGAATTGTATAGCTGTAACGTACAGTATCTGGTGCAACTACAGAAATCGAGGATGTGGACTGTGGGTAAAATCTTGTCTCTCAGTACAAAACGACAGCGCCAAATAAATCTCGAAACTTGGTACAAAACGACACCATTGACGACCGCCATCGGCAGTTAAGTATAAGAAGACCGTATCATCCATTACAAATTACTTATTTTTGTCGCTATTAATTTTTCCAATTTAATAGATAAATAAATGTATATTTGTCAATCTGTGTTACATATATAATTTGTGTTACATGCTACCACAAACATTTAAGTCTTTGCGATAGTAATATTTAAAGGCTATGCCGAAAACGGTTAGATACATAAAAGAACCTTCGGAGCTTTACCCTTGAATGTCTCACACTGATAATGCGAAAGCATCTATCTTCTCTATCCCTCAAATGAACCTGTTCGGCAGACCAAGCCTGACGGATTCATAGCCTTGTATAGGTAAAAGCCACTATATCACTTTCTTGATTTGGGCTGGTCAAAAGAACCGCCTTTAATCCGCGTGCGTGATTATGATTGATATAAACAATTGTTGTAATTATGGATAAAAGGGACAATGCCGCTATCTATGCAGTGTCACGCTTATTTCGCAGTTGTGTGGATATGGCTTGTCTTTTTTCATCGCTCATTTGTTGGTTATTGTGCTATAATATAATTAATGTACGTAAAAAGTAGTTTTCAATGGAGATTCAGCTAAGCCATATGAATATCGCGATTAATTGCTCTTGTGAAACAGTCAGCCCGTATTCAAAGAGCTAGGCTTGAATATTGCAGTTTGGGACCTGTCTTACAGAAGTCATTTACATGCTCTCCGTTAATTTGGTAAAAAGCCCAAAGGTTCTAATATTCGTCTGCTAAGGTGGGAACTTGTTATAATTAAAAACAATACTATCACTTTGTAAACTAAAATATCGGGTCTTTGTTGCGATGGACCCGATGTTTGATAATCATATTAAGACTTGATTACTTATTATCTGGTGGAATTCAGAGTGTTTCACATACACAATAAATTCCATCCGAATTACATAATATGACGAATTTAAATAGTAAATTCTGTGTGGAATCTTAAATGTGACCAATTCTGATTATTATGTACATTATGTAACCGTAGCGTTATGTATTCCCACATAACAACATAAATTTTGCACAGATTCGATATGACGTTAATATTGTTATTCGAGATGTACATTGTGTAAGGAATTACCAGCAAATAAATATTCGGTCGTTGTACAACAATACTCATGCCAATTAATACACTTGTTTGATTTCTCTATCATATCACTTTGAATAACTGATTCACATAGATGCCTCGTTAAATTTGCTACCAATTGATACATGTTCGGAATAGCTCTACCATAGTGCGGTTTATGTCGATATTATTTTCAACATTTTTAATAACGTTTACCAGGACTTAAAAGCTTTGATGGCCGGTTGGTCAGCAGATTTTGGTATGGTTTTCACTAACACTAAGGCAAGACAGCTGAAATTAAAGGCCACAGATACATTTGTCACAGCAGAACACGAATAATGGCTAACTTAAAATTAAGGCGTTAGACCTTTGATTATAGTACGACGCCAAATTTATATAAACAAGAGTTTTCATCGTTAACCGATCTCAAACTTTCAAGTTATTTTAAAGAAAATCAGTAATGAATTTACAAATCAAATTGCTTACAACAAAAACATGGTTTGTTATGTTGCTTTGATGTTAGATTTGTTATAAATATGGTTTATAATTAAGAACTTGCATAAAGTAGTCCACATTGGTGCATGAAACGTCATTATTCTATATTAATCAATAAACAAGTAGGATAATACTTGAATTATATATAAGTACTTTTTATCAGCATCAAACCCAAATTGTTTTACTTGAAGAGGTATCGTGGGTCACAAATCTTGTCACAAATTCTAACCACGACAAATTGGTATCAAGAAACAGTATTGGGTGTATTAAATAGTAATTATACAATTAAGTTATTGTCTTCCACATACACATAAATGTTTTGTTAATTAGAAAACATGCAGGTTGCATTTACATTTATTAATTGTATCGAATATTAATATTAACTATATTTTTATAACATACTGTAAAACAGAAAACAAAAAAGTATACTATCCTCAATTTGACTTGGCACTGCATTGAATAAACTGCAGCAAACCAGATAAAGTTGATAATGTATTATAAAAACTAGCTTGTTATAAAAAGAAAGCAAAAGCGAAAATTTATTGAGCTAAATTGCTAATGTTAGTGTGACCAAAAAATTAACTAACATGACAAATTTTTCTAAAATTAGTATTAGTGGCGCGCAACTGTCTGAATTTATAGATAAACTCTAGTTACATTTTAAATCTGTATTAATTGGTATCAGAGTGTAAACTGGTTGAGATAACACTTTACTCGCAGTTATTATTATAACAGTGATATGTTCTATACATAACCCTATCTACAAAATTTACATCAAACCCACTATCGAACAATTATAGATTACGAGAAATTTTTATTCACATGACCAGATATAATCATATAACCTCCATAAGCGTATGCACGTAAAGGTTGGCCAACTAATTGCCATAATGTCAATCAACAAAATCAATGCAATAGTGGGGTGGTTTACTTACCAGTACTTGTAAAATATACTTGACATAAGAGTTTTATCACTTTTTCGAATTAAACAAAGTTGTCATAAACGCCACAATAGTACAATAAATAATTGCCGTAAATAGTTGCCGCGTTATTAGAGGGTTGACACCCTCTAAATGCAAACCTGTGATTTTTACGTAATTGTACTGTGTTACATTTAATGAGATAATTAAATTATCTACAAAGAAGGCAATACAACAACCATGTATCGATGATGGTAATATTGATAATACTGTTGAACACTGACAGTTACTGTCGATGAATGCAGCAAATGGCTTATCAAGATTTGTTTTGCTTTAGTTCTACCACGTAAAATGCCTGCTTTAACTCAGCAAGCGAAAGCCAACTGTCTAACCTGGACACGTAATTACTCGCATTACAATTGGAATAAAGTAATTTTTTTCTAATGAAACTACAACCCAAATGTTTTGCAACGTGTTTAAGTTATGGTAAAGCATTCCATTGAAGCTCACGTTTGGGCTGCGATTAACATTAAGGGGAAAATTCAAAATGCACATATTCACAAAAAATCTAAATTGGCATTTTTACATCAGAAAATCCTTAACAGTCATTTATATAATAATGCTTATAAACTTGCTGAGTTACAACTGAGTATTTTAGTAGAATAACAACCCAAAACATACATTACATAACGTTCTTACATGACGTGTTTTCCTTGGCCTTCGTACAGTCCAAATTAATTCAATTGAGAATGTCTGGGCTGTTCTAAAGCATAATATTAAATGGTGGCGAAAAAAATAAAAATTTCTCAATCTGCTTTTTAAATTTAATTAGGCAAATGGAATAATCTCGAAAAAAATGTCACAGTTAACAGCGTTACATTATAATTAGTAACATAAAAAAGAATTAAATTCAAACTTGTATTGATGCTGAAGGAGGCCACTAATTAATAAAGTTGTAGCCCTAATTTTTCATTAGAATTTTTTTATTCGTTCTATCTTTCAAGCTGAGTTCATTACATTTCAATACTGATCGTCATTACTTTTTCCGGGGACTGTATATATCAAGTCACGTGCAACCGATAAAATTTTGACCCTCTCTAAATGCATTCCCAAGGACGTGCATTTATAGAGGGTTGTTTGTATCACCAATAAAATGTCCTCAAATCAGATAGACATGGCATTTTACGAGACAACACGACATTTTGTCTCATTGAAAAGCCTCTACCAATTGATTCCATTTACAACATTTTCTAGATGTAACAATTACAATTATTGGATTTTGGATAGGATAACCACTACTACAATGTATTGTAAAACAAAACCATGAGTTAGAAGCAATCTTAACAA